CCAAACCGTATTGATAAACTGTATTATAGACCGTTATTGGGGCTTCAAGTAATGCATACGTAACAGAAAAACCAAAAATATTTCTGACAACTTTTTGTTAAACAGTATCTATTAAATACACTATAATGGAGTTAGGATGATATATAAACCAAATAAAAATCATCAAAAAGGCACTATATTCAGTAAGCTATCAAGGAAAGAGATCAGACTACAAAAATTGGTAGAAAGAAGCCCACTTTAAAATCCAATAAGAAAAGGCCTAGACTTTGTTAGCCTTGCAGTAATTTGACTGAATTTGTCAGTAGAGCCAATTTAAAAGAGTAGCTAGATGATCCAAATGTGTAAGCTTGATCATATTAATTATAATTCTGTTGGACCTGTAAGAGATGTAGAATCGATTTCAGTCAATGCAGAGATGTCGATAATAATAATTAGCGCCCTTTCAAGCACCTAAATAAACTGGAAATTATTTAGAAATATAGTACCATCACTGCAGCACATAAAGAAAGATGTTAGTGGGTACTTGTACTTAATTGAACACAAATACAACAAGATGTCAGCAGAAGCCCCCTTCATTAGAAAAGTTTGCCAAGGACGAGGACTCACAACAATCCATTTTTGATTGTTTCTAAGCTCAAAAAGCGGCGGCTTCTGGCTAATAGTCATTCGACTGCCAGGCTTTGGCGCCAGAGTTGGTTTAGTGGGAGATGCCTCGTCAGCGCAGGTACGTAGAGCCGTATCTTTGTTAGTCTTCATTTCCTTTGTCACCTTGCGTAGATTCGAGGTCACTTGTTCGCCTTGATTCAGTTGCGAAAAGAGGGCAGTGGCTCCGGAGCCCTGTATTATTAATTGCAGAAGAATAAAAATAGTAATCAAATTTAGCTACAGGGGACACATAAGAATAATGAATTTGTGAAAACTAAAGGATGAGTTGACATTTTTCCTGGTCATATCGGCTTAATTTTTATTTTTATAATCAAAAGAATATAATCTACGAAGTAAACACGATTATAATAAAAAATATTCGAATTTTAGCTACCATACTTTCTTTGGTAAAAAAACGATGATTAAAGATAACATTTGGCTACAGTATGACAATTGATTAATTTATTGAAAG